CGACCTCCGGTACGGTATTTCAATCGTTGGTCATCTACTAATTAAAAGACATGGTTAAAAGTTTATAATTGAAAAACTTAATTGTTGTCAAGATATGGTAAATGTAGTTTTTCTATATATATATCACCATTTGTAGTATTGTTTCAGTTCGTGGAAGAAGTACTTTCTGTAAATACTTTTCCAAGTATCCGAAAGATGATTAATTAACCTGTCTCGCTTGACAAACAATTTCATCATACGCGGCACCACATTCGCGCTCACCATGACCATGTACCCTCCATTATTCTTTCTCATTGTTAATGTATTCATCATTCATTCATTCACCAAAAAACAAAACAAGTTAATATTTACTACAATGACTTCAACGTGATCAATAAATATGCATGTGGTAAGAAGAAACATTCCTTGTCAATTTTAAGGTATGAAGCTTGGAAAACCTGGTCAACTGAAAACAAAACAAAAGGCATTGTCCCCTTAGCTTGCTACCGCCTGCAAGCACAAGCTTAGAATTTACAGAGCATAAATCACCCATGAGAGACAAGAGGAAGCAATGAAGATATCGAAGCCCTCTTCGTAATTTCTTACACTATAAATGGACAATCAAGCCGAAAGCTAAGCATGCACGAGCTTACAATTTACTAAAAACAGCTTATTCTAAGTAAGTGTAATTAATTCGCATAGCCATGGCGATGAAGATGCAGTCCTCCCGCAGTATCGTTACCTCGGCTGCCGTCTTGCTTCCGCTGATCATACTGTTGGTCGCCCTTTTCTCATGTACGTTTCACTTCTTGCTTCTTCTTCATCTCTTGCCTTGTCTCTATTCCTCCCCCATTGATGTAAAGTTGTATATATTTGCATGCAGGCGTTTTGCCTTCAAGCGCATCGAGAGTTGTTACTCCGCGGCAGCTGGAGAATCTCAACGATGCTCCGACTAACGTCAGGTATAGTTTATCATCATCGATAGTCTATCTATCGCGATGGTGGTATATGTTAGAGAGTGGTATAAGATCCAACATAACCTTCTCCCAACAACTCGAGTTATTGGGAGCATACTGGTTTATGACATGGTATCAGAGCCTAGAACCGAAAGTTCATGTGTTGGAATCTCCACGACCCCCAATATTAACCGTTGTCTTTCAAGCACATGGTATGGTGGGCCTGTGCAAACTTCAAGCCCGTGGGTTGGCTTTCGTTTAAGGGGGCGTGTTAGAGAGTGGTATAAGATCCAACATAACCTTGTCCCAACAACTCGAGTTATTGGGAGCATACTGGGTTTATGACAGTATATTTTCTCCATTTTTCTCATCGTCGACTAATGCAGGAATCACCAGAATTTGACCTCGCAGTTGTGGCGTAAAAGAGGAGTAGCAGATGTAGTCATGATACCTCAAACTTCCAACAACAACAATACGGATTCGGTACAGGAATGGTGCAGTGGTTTTTGCAATGACCGTGCATGTGATAACGCTTACCCGTGGCTGTGTAATGGTCAAGATCGTAGCCATTGCAAGCCCACTTGCGACTGTGTGACCTACACTTGTTATTGCTTCTGCACTGAATAAAATATTTGTGCATGCATGCATCGTCGTCGTAGGATCGAAACTTGGTGACTCTACCTACCACTTTGCTTTTTTTTTTTTTTTCATGTATGCTTTAATTTTTTCCACCTATTTGGTTGTGCTCTTTTGATTCGGTTGTTTTCTCTTTTTTCCCGACCTTCCAAGGGGTTTTGACACACCTAATAATCGTCTGCCGATCATTATATATCCATGTGTTTCATTGCATGTCTTATGTTGATTACACTTGGTTTTCTCTTTTCTTTAATAAGTTTTGAGCCAGTCATCCTTAATTCCTACTGATGAGTTGGAATTGCTTTGTAATTGAATGTGTTTTACTTTCTTTCTTTCCTTCATGAATAAAACAATAATAATAATAAGTGGTTAATCTTCTCATCTTTAATTATTAACTCTAATATTACCCAAAAAAAACTCTAATATTTTTTTAATGGCGATGTTAATTTATTTAGTTAATAGAAATTACAAAAGACACCGAACAATTCGGAGACGGAGAGTATGCAAAAAATGCAAACATTTCAGATTGTTGAGTCTCAATTGTCACTACAACAAAAACTAGTTTTTGCAACCAAAAACTTAACAACCAACTGAAATTGGTTGCGAAAAGGTTAGTATATACGACCAATTATATTTTGGTAGCTAAAATATTAAAAAATTGGTTGTCTATTTAAATATAAGTATTGATAACCAAATAAAACTTGATGAGACCAAACAATTTGGTAGCCAAATATTTTTTTACTATTTTCAACCAAATAAATTTGGTTGCAAAATACTTTTTACTATTTCCAACCACATAATTTGGTAGCAAAATGCTCTTTACTTCTTTCAACCAAATAATTTGGTTGCAAACACAATAAATTTTTTCCAGCATCTAATTTTTTTGGTTGTGATTGTATTGATGTTAAAATTTATTGGTTGCCAATTTGCAGTAAACCTCTGGGAATCATATAAAGGTTTAGATGACTAAATAATTTGGTTGCGGACATAATAAATGTTTAAGCAATCAAATTTTTATTGTAAAGTTTTAGATTATCAGTTATTACTAGTTTGAGTACTAAGTGAGACTACCAACAAAATTTGGTCGTTGTAGTGGTAAAGTGAATTTTTCCTTTCTAGTCCTCCATTTGACCATTTCTCGGTCGAAGAAGATTGTGGAGGGTTACAGCTCACCTCCGCCTGATCTCGAATCCATATTATCTGCTCCTTCCTGCCCTGAATCTCCTCCTCCGGAGTTGTCTCTGAAAATCGAAAGTCCGAAACAAGTGTCTGCGACCGCGACGGAAACGCCGATGGTCACTCTATCCTTCTTCTCCTCCTTGCTCTTTGTCTCCTCTTCTAGGGATTAGAACGCAAAGCTCATTTCATTCTCCCATCGAATTCGAAATTCGAATTCTTCTCCTGAATCAGTCGCCAGGCCTCCTCTCCATCTCTTGCCAAGTCGCAACCCTCCCAATTTCTCATTCGCCAACCATAGATGAGAAGTCAGAAAGTCATCAGATTGTGCAAAGATAGTCTCGAGCTCCAAGTCTCAGCACTTGTCCGAGCATTCAAAGACTGAAATCGCTAAGCAGAGTCTAGCGTTGCTGCTTCACCACAACTACCACCAACACGCGGCAACGGCCATAATAACCCCTCCATGGAAGAATTTCCTGTTCCTCCCAATTTGGTGTCTTCCGTGGCCAGATCGCTCCTTCCGATGCGGTGCCGCCTCCAAGCTCTATTTCACTTGTGAGTTCCTGATTCTCCAATCTCTCTTTGCCTCTCTCTTTACCGAGCTAGGTTTCTGGAATTTCTTTTTCTCGACAGGATCTTTTGGTAATTCGGAGTAAAATTGACTGAAATTGCTGACTTCTGCTGCATCAATAATGATTGCTATCTGTTTCTAAATTGCTTCTGTTTTGTATTTATGGTTTCTATTGGGAGCTAATGAAGCTTGCGCTTCCTTCTCTGGTTGTAGAGAATGAATTAGGTATTGTTAGATGATATTTTTGATAGAGTAGACTCCCAATCAATTGGCTCTACTTCTACTGCCCAGGTCCCTGCAGCTGGAACTTCAACTTTTTATTCGCCAAATTACCGAATGAATGATTGCTATGTTGTCATGATGCATATGTACGGAGTTCAATTGAATTGAAGAGAGGGTTGGGTGACTGCTAATCTCTTCTCAATGGCTTGACTAAGAAAGGTGATTGACTCCTCTTTTGGTTTGCTTCTCTCTATTAGTCTTCTTGATAATAAGTTTTTCTCTTTTAGTCTCCCTTTGTGGTTAGTGTTGAGAGTTCCCGTGTCAATTTGATTGGTTCTCGTCAACTTGGTATGTACATTTAAGGTAGTTTTTACCTGAAGATCTTGTATGTTATTTGAATTGACTCGGCTGACCAATTATTATGCTCAAAGTAGATAGGTCTTCTCATTCTGGTGGTGCATGGTAACTTAGAATAGGATATGACCAATGAATATTTACATGGAAAGCTCCTAGAAGTAGCATTTAGAGCACTGTTTGGCATAGCTTATGTTTCAGGACTAGACTGCACTTTCCTAAGTTAATGCTGATTTTATCAACTTGGTCATGCAGAATTTGAGTTTCTTTGTTGTTTGTGCTCCTTACTTTTTCTATGACTAGGTAAGAGCGATCACCCAAGAGTATAGTCCGAAAGTGAGCGGCTGGAAAGTTGAAGGTCTCATGGCTCTTCAAGAGGTACCATGACCACTTACATTGTTCTCATTGCTTTTCCATGCAAGTTAAAGAAATAGCATAGGGATGTTTGAAGCTTCTCTGTGACTGGTTCACATTCACTTCTACTGATACAGCTTATGATCTGAACTTTCCAGACAATCACTTGAACCTGAGTCTATTATTTGAATTGTCGTGTGTTGTAGGAAGCAGAGGATTTCTTGGTCCACTTATTAGAAGATGGGATGCTATGTGCAGTTAATGCCAAACGTGTTACATTGAGTGAGTTTTTCTTGTCCGCTGCTGCAGTTTATCCCAAGTCTGACATTTTCATTAACCTGCTTCTCTTCTTGCTGATACTTGTTATGATGCTTAAGTGAGGAATACTTGGTCCGTTGAAAAAAGGGTCAGTCTCTTTAACCTAGTAATCTTTGCAATGCTGAATTTAGCCATTATGAAGTTGTAGATTATATATTGTCAACCTAGTAGGCGCCCAGAGGTCAATTATTAAGGTGTCCTCTTGATAAGTTAAGCTAGAGACATGAGTTCGACTTCTGTTTATGGTATTCCTCATTTTTTTTCCATTGTCAGCGTGGTGTTTGTGTTGAGATATGTACTCTGAACTTATTATGTAGAGAAGGAAGATGATTCCCAATGCTAAGGAAGATTATTCCCAATTCTGATTCTCACTCCGGCTTCTTATCCTCTCCCGTCTCCTCTTAATTTTTTCTTCTTAAAGTACCGAGTGGTTCTAGTTTTGTTCGCTTTCTGATTGTGATTGTTCGTGGAATTAGGCGGAGAGGTCAGTTTCTTACAACGAACACAGGCCAAGAAAGCCTCCGCCAGACTTGCCTTGCTGCTTCACGGGAGAATAGTGCCTGTAAGTTGATTGACTTAGAGACGGTTTCCTGGAACTCAACTTCATCTTGTACAATTAATTTCTAGAACTCAACTTCACCTAGTGTGGAATAGTCAATGTATGTGGTTAAGTCATTCTAGCTGCTGCTAATTTGCAGGAAACTAAATGGTAATGAGTTTACTGGTTGAATTCGTCCTGAATTTGGCAAGTTGGAGCTGATTGCAATGAGTCTATTCTGGTTCTTAGGGTGAGTCTATTCACCTAGGGTTATATGTCTTGAAGCTTTTATAATATTAATTTTATTCACCGGCGGTCCAGATTTGTGTCATGATTACTAATCTTGGGTGCATGATCATCATCGGTAAGCTCGATCCTGAATATTTAGAGGTGGGTGCTTTGTTTCTTGTATTCTGCAGAGTCATTGAAGTTTAGTTTAGTGGTATCAGTTCTCTTGGCAGTGATTTTCATTGGTATAAGCTCTGTGATGGCTGTCTATGCACTTATACAAGGCACAACCAACAACCCTAGACTATTACCTAAAGTAGACAGCAATTCCTCCTTCTTTGATCAGCTTGAAAGAGAAGTATGTCAGTCTGATTGATTTCTGGGAATAAGTGATTTGGATACTCTAGTTGAATCTTTCTATTCCTCATGAAAGATGATTGATTGGGTGTGCAGAGGGAGAGTTCTTGATGTGTTGAAGAACTGGCCTGAGAGGAGCATTCTGGTCACTGTTGTGACTGATGGTGAAAGGATTTTGGGACTCAGAGATCTTGGATGCCAGGTACTTAATAAATTTAGCCCTGGTTATGGTTGGTTGGAGATGTGTTCTTGTAAACACACTTGTTTTGTCTACAATAATTATACATCTTTGGAAGCTGATTGAGAATGTCTCTGATTTGTTCATGGTAGTGTTTGCTTATTACCATTGATGTTGGTGCAAACAACGAGAAATTGCTGAATGATGAATTCTGTTTTGGACTTGAACAAAGGAGGGCTACTAGCCAGGTACTGTCTAGTCCTTTATTATAATTCAGGTCCGGAGTTTCTTGGCAATTTGATTAGCTAATATAATACCTCTTTATATCTTTTGTTTCCAGGATATTAGAAACTTCTTGAGTTTCTTGTCTGCCGCAAAGCAATACTATGGAGAAAAAGTTCTTATTCAGGTTTGAAACCATTCCTTAAGTTCAAATATATATCTCAGTGCAAACTTATTATATGTTTTTCCAAAGCTGCTAAATTTCCATGAATATAGGTTTATCTTGTTGCATGCTACTGTCCAAGATATAGGTATATTTTAGTTATGGTACTGTCTAGGAATATAGGTTTATCTTGTTGTATGCTAAATTTCCTGCTTCTCGTCAATTTCCCTAATTCAGAGGTTCTACTTTAAAGCTGCTCGAGCTGATACAGAGGTGGAGTCGAGGTCCAAGAATCATTAACGTGCCCTTTGTTTCTGCTCGGCATAGTTACGTGTGTAATTGTGATTTTTTAAATAGTGGGCTTCCCTAGTGATAACATATTGTATTTGTGATTTTAGTTACAAAACAATTTTTTTATATGAGATATGATATGAAATTATTTTATTATAATTTAATTTTTACATTTTTCTTTTTAATGACCAAAATTTCATGGGCAAATTGATCATATTAGTAATTTGAAATTATTTTATTTGGTCGGCTTAGTTGTTTTCCGCAACCAATTTCTTTGGTTGTGATAAACTTCCATAACTAAAATAATAGGTCTCCCAAAATATTTAATTGGTTGCGGTACATATTTTACACGACCAAATTTAATGATTGTGTTAAACTTTTATAACAAATATAATTAGTCGTCTTAAATGATATAATTGGTCGGCATATGTGTATTTCACAACCAAATTTCATGGTTGTGTTAAATTTTCATAACCTTAAAAATTGGTCATTGTAATGATATAATTGGTTGACATATGTTAATTTCCTGACCAAATTGAATGGTCACCTATAAGACGTAAGTAAATTTTATTTGCATCCAAAAAAATTGGTTACTAATAGTCCCATAAAATTGGTTGTCATTTATATTTTTGGCGACCAAACAACTAAATTTCCCAACCATTAGGTTGGACTATGACAACCAAATTAAAATGGTCGCGAAAAATTAAGGTTTTTTTACCTTTGGCGAAATTGGTTGCGATAGCTTTCTTTTTCGCTACCAATCACTATTTTGGTTGCGATAGGTATTCGTAACGCGGCTATAGCGACCAATCCTGCAACCAAAAGATTTTGGTTGCAAATTCGTATTTATAACCAATTTTAGACCTTTAGAGACCAATTTATTTGGTTGCAAAAAGCCTTTTTCTTGTAGTGTGTAATTTTCAAATTGTTAGGCTTATCCCACATCGACAAAACATAGAAAAATGTCAATGTTTCATAAGTAAGAAATCGACTTTAATCGACATGTTACTAAATGTCTGTTTGTTGTAGTGGCAGAGATCACGATGATGTGATCTCTTTTGAGATCTTCAAGTAATTTTCGGATTATCATTGCGTAATATATGGTAAAAAAAATTTGGATCAATGAAGTCGACGAGATTGACCACTTCTTATTATTGTTGTTTTATTGATGAGGAAAATAAAGAAAGCTAAGTAAGATACCAGTTCATACAAAGCAGTCCCAACTCATCACTACAAGAGAAAATTACCCAGGGAATGATTAAAGAAACGAAGGAAACACGACGAGCATTTGAAAAAAAAAACACACGTGAAAAACAAAGCAAAAGTGGCTGGTAGAGTTAAGAGACACCAAATTCCAATCCCGACGACGATGATGATTCGTGCATGCACCTCGATGGATCTTTGCCGTCATCAACTAAACATTTGACATATATATTTCATTCAGGGCAGAAGCAATAACAGCTATAGGAAGCACAGTCGCAAGTCTGGTAGCAACTGCTAGGTTGACCATTACACAACCAGGAGTAATAGTTCTTACACGCAACGTCGTTGCAGAAAGGATTGCAATATTCATATACCGATGCGGCCGTGCCGTTGTTGTTGGATGCTGCTCGAGGTATCCCGGCGTTACCAGACTCCTTCGGACCGACGATTCTCGATGCGCTCGAAGGCAAAACGGCGGCGGCCCATATTACGACGAGCAGAAGCAAGATGGCCGCCGACTTGGAAACACTTGTGCGCTGCTGGATCATCAATCTCGCCATGGTTATATATAAGCTTGTTTTGTTTTTCCTTCTGAGAATTCTTTCGAAGTGAGTCGATCGTTGTGCATGCATGATCTATTTATAGTGTAACAGATTATGAAGATGGACTACTTCGATATCTCCAATTGCTTCGGCCTCTTAATTGTCCTCATGGGATCTTTGCCGTCATTGCACAGATAATACCTCGTATAGGGCGCGGAGCGGAGGGGACAAAGCAATTTTGTTTTGGATTGAAAGGGATTCATTCGATCGCCTGCCTGCTTTTTTTTTTTTTTTTTTTTGATAAGGGTGATATAGGTTCATTTTGTTGCTATTAAGGTACTACTTAAGGGATTCGAACCTGGGACCTCCAGGTTCTAGGCTAATGGAGTTACCACTAGGCCAAGCCCTTGTTCGTCGATCGCCTGCCTGCTTTATACTTCATAAAAATGTTGAAGTCAATGTAGTACTATTAATTAGCTTCATTTTTTTGGAACGAATTGTTATTGACCGTGTGTGTGGGTGCATGTTCGGTCATACTTTAATGGATTTATACGCGTTTTATGGATTAGATTTGGGTTGGATTTGGGTTCGATTTTATTTAAGTTGCACTCAAATAGAGGTGGCAATTGGATCGGATTCGTGGATTCGTGGATTGGATTGGTGGATCCATGGATCAAATGGATTGGATCCAATGGATTGGTGGATTCATGGATTGGATCAAATGGATTGGTGGATTGATCCATAAATCCAAATGACATCCAAGGTTTGGACCAAAATGTAAATTTTGAAAAGTTTAGATACTAAAATGTCATAATGAAAAATTTTAGGTACCAAAATGTAATTTTCCAATGATATTTTTTGTATAAAAATATAAATTTTAGGTACCAAAATGTAAAATATAAAAAATATAGGTACCAAAATGTAAAATATAAAAAATATAGGTACCAAATCGTAATTTGCCATTTAGATCCATGGATTGATCCATGAATCCACCAATCCAATTGGATTTGGATCAAATGGATTGGATTTAAATGGATTGGATTAGATGGATAATTTGGTGGATGGATTGGATTGGATTCATGGATTTGGATCCTAATTGCCACCTCTACACTCAAATGAAACTATTGGATACGGATAGTTGTACACATAAGAAGACAATATCGATTTATAATTACATGCTTTCAACCTAATTCGCACCTTTAATTTTGGTGTTTTCACATTTAATTTCTACATGTTTGGTACAGATAAAAGGCAAAAGTCACATTAGAGTTGGGTATTCATTTTTTATTTTATTTTATGTGTATCGAATATCATGAGTCTAATTTAGATCGAAACTAAAAATTAGGAATATGGTTGATATGACCAAAAAATAATATTACTCAAACGCAAATCTAACTTCACGTACAATAAATTGGATTTTAACAGTACCCAAACTTCGAGTCTTTTATTGTCATTTCCAACTCGTTCCTCTCCAACCGAATCTCCCATCGAACATCAAATGGTAAATATTCTGTAAATATTGTGATAAGTAATACTTCGATATCGTCATTGCGGCTTCCTCTTGTTTCATGGGTTCTTTGCCGTCATTGAACAGATAACGCAAACCCCTGCCCTCTTGTTCCATGGCTGATCAAAGGATTCTCCTGGTTAAGTTCTATGCTGTGCAAAAGTTATTAGGTCAAAGGGATTCATCTGCCTGCTTTATGCTCTGTAAAGTGTAAATTGTATGCTTCTGCTTGAAGAGAGCGGAGGGGATAACAATGCATTTGGTTTAATGATTTTTTTTCTTCCAGAAGTAGCATGATTTAATTTTTTTTTTTTTACAAAAATAGTAGCCAGTCCAGAAAAATAGCCCCAATGATTCAATGAATATGATTGGTGTATAATGCCAAATTCACCCCGTGCCCGATTCAGGAATTCGAACGATAGGGGCTGATTGAAATTGTCGTAATTGGAAAAGGAGGGGTAAAGCTTTACCGATTATTTGCAACAAAAAAGCCTTACCAACTATTATGACTCCTAAATTTGTGTAAAAGTTACATGTATATATATTTCAATATTGAGGGGTTATAACTCCTCCTAACTTCAACCTAACTCATGAAGCTACCGCTATATATGCCCTATTGTGATATTGTACATTTTAAGTTGGACAAATAAAATTCATTAGCCAAACCTTTCGAAATACAAAATATTGGACAAATCCTTTGCAACACATAAAAATATTAGTCATGTGTTTGTTAATCCTTTGTAACACATAAAAATATTAGTCATGTGTTTGTTACCGTTACCGATAATAGTTTTGTAACTATTATTTTAGTTAAAATCACTAAAATTTTGGAATGTTGACTGCAACGTGTCTCTTCCAAAGTCAGTTTAATATTGCCAAGTCAATATTACTAACAAAACTACTAACAGGAAGTTGACATTTAGCTAATATTTTATAGGGTAATGATTATTTATTAGCCAAATCTTTTCGTATTCTTTTTTATTAGCCAAACCTATCGAAATACTAAGAATTAGCTAAATGTTAACTTTCAGTTAGCAATTTTTTTAGTAATATTGACTTGGGAACATGATACTGATTTGGAAGAGACACATGAAGGTCAACATTTCAAAATTTTAGTATTTTAACTAAGATAAAAGTTACAAAATTATTAACGATAACGTAAAAATGGTTAATATTTTGATGCATTACGAATGATTTGGCTAATTAATAACATTTTAATAGTATTGGATAAAATGTCAAAAATATTTGGCTAGTAATTTGAAATGTCAAAAATATTTAGCTAATGAATTGTATTTATTATCTTAAGTTCATAAATAACGTTTTTAAAAAAAAAAAAAAATCCATTTTGATGACGTGGGGCCAGTAGAGCACTTTGAGTGGATGGGCTAAAACTTGTCAACTGGACTTGAGCCCGGCCCGCAGAGGAACCTTACGTACCTAAGTCCATAATCCACGAGCAAATGATTCTCCTCACAAGTGGCCAGCCCGCGAATGAACTACAAAAGGCCTACTTTACGAGAGCCCAGCCCATAATTTCGTTTCATTCGCATAGCCCAACCCATAGCCTGAGAATTGAGATAGATATAAAGAGATCCTTGTTTTGGTTCGAGTTTTTGATGCGGCTGCCCAATCCCTTCGCAAAGACTGTGCTTCGGGATGAGTTTGTAACTAGAGTATACCACGCGCATGACTCTAATTCTAAGGTTATAATATAAAGTAGTTTGTGTTGACAATAGACTTTATAAAAGACCACTTTAAATTAATTAATTATTCATTTATCGATTAATTAATAAATACTATAAATTCATAATTTTCACGGGTTCCTACTTTATTAACTTATAGAGGTTTTATCGTATAATATTAAGTTATAGGTAGT